TTCTTAATGGGGTGCACTATCAACTTTTAAAAGGCTTGTGTCGACCTTCCGAACACCCTGTATTGCTGCATCAGCATATGGTATTCCATACAACGCGTCAATTTGGAAACTACCACTTTCTGGATGCCTTGCGTTTCTGGCGATGCTGTTCAGGGAATCCAATTCAATTCCACAAAAGTTATTTTGCTCGCTCTCCCATTTCACATGCATATGCACCTATGTTTCAATATCGAAATCGTTTTACCAGGAAAATGGGTTTCGCACCATTTTGCAAATAAGCTTTTTCCACAAATACATCCACCTGTACAATTTCTATTTCTTTTGGGATACTTTTGTGAGTATTATAGTTATAGAGATTTTGGAGTTCGAGATCTTTTTTTCCAGTTTATGTTATAGAAGTCCTCTATATTTTGGTAATTTTTTGGTGAAAAGAGGGTGGAAAATTTTGTGAGGCAGCCAGGGTGGGAACCAGAGTTTGGTGTACCCCGAGGCAAAGGATAAAATATGCGTCGACAAGAGCAGAATTTTTCGTCACCAAGTCACTGGGCCCTGAGGTGGCTGCATCACTTCCTTGCCGCCAGTAGTCGGCTGTAGGGACAACGCTCAAGTGCGAAAAATTTAAAAGAGGTTGTCTCACGGTCTCAAAATATTCATTTTAGAAACAGTCCGTATTATCGGGTCCAAAGTTAGCTACTGGGTTCTTTGCTACACAGGAGCTGAGGACCTGTGGTTGAAGGAGCCCCAAGACAGATCGAAATCCAGGGCCCGACGACTCAGCTCACTGGGAAAGATGAAAAGTGGGAGGGGGGTTGTACTCATCAGGCATTGGCCAGTTGGAAGCTCCCACCAAGCTGGAGCACTGGGCATATGCCACTTATGCCCATAAAGTCAACATGGAATTGGGTATTATCATGCCTTTCCGTAAGGATGTAGAAACTTTTGAAGTGACTTCATTCTCTTCAAGAGTCATTTTACAGGAAACTGATTCTTATTGCTAGACATTCACAGGAGTCCAGCGAGGTAGTCGTATTCAGAACCGCACCTTTGTAGTGGTAGTTGGTGGTACCTAATTTGATAGCAGTCTAATATGTAGATAGGTCATTATTTCCAACGGGGGCATTCACCCAATTACAGAAAATAATTGAAATATCAAGTGAAATACATTCTCCTAATGTGAAAGATATCGTCAAGTAGATTGATTTTATACTTCCTGCGCCTTCGTTGGAGCTTTTGAGGAAAATGGATGAGTCAAGTCGATTCAAATGGCAGAATGGAATCGTGACTAGGTAGGCTTACTTAGGTACGATGAATCTTTGACTTCTATTTATCAATCTATATAAAAAAAGTGTATCATATTTCTGTTTCCAGAGCAAATGTAGGGAAAACGTGTATGACTCATTTTGTCTAACAGGTGCATAATCTTACCGGGATCTGAGCATCTTAATGGTAGAAGATCTTTCACTGACACCAAACAAGCAATCGTTTACAACTATTTACCCCAAACAGCTTGAAACTTACAATATTCAACCCATCCAAACAATGTCTGAAAATTAGCAGGAATCTCTAAAACTATGCTCCAACGACATTTATTTTTTTCTCCGTACTTCCGCCGCCACTGAATCGATCTACGACTACTTAAACCATGGAAGTATTGAAGTTCCGATAATATTCGGACTTAATTCCGCAAATCTTCTATTGCCTTCTATTCACCCAAGTTCGCGTTTCTTATTTATGTTGGTTTGTCAGTGCGTGTCTGTTGTATATCAAAGCGTAATAGGTACTGAGTCAATCTTCTTGACGAAATATCCAAACGACTATCAGATATAGAGTAACAGAAATTAAACGTTAGGTGAAATGGGTGGCACCACAGAATTCAGAAAAAATATGTATAGATATAAAAACAATTAAGTCATAATTTACAAAAGCATCTCAGAACGCTAAAGTGGTACATACTCTTGGCACAGTAGTAAGATTCGATAAAAATTTCATAGAAATCCGAGCGGTACTTTTCAGGTTTTAAGATTAGCGGACAGACAGACAGACAGACCGACCAAAAAGTGTAACATCCAAAAAACATAATATCACATTTTCGGTAAAATGACAAACCGCTGTCAAGAAGATGTTAGAGACATATTTCATTTGTTCGCATCTACTCGCCTGCTTAATTATTATAGGGCATTGTTATAGGTTCATTCTTTTTGGTATAAATTGATACGAAGCACTAATCCGCATTAACCTCAAAATTAGCATTGCAGAAATTAAAAACAATGTTGCTTTGCAGAGAGAATCGTACCCACTATAACTCATTTTTTAAGTTATTCGATTCACTAACAGACGGATGTAGATGCTTTTCATGCCTGGGTATGCAAAGTAGATATATTCAAAAAGTTCTATGTTACGGGTTACAGGTCAAACAGTTTGATGGCTTTTATCACATGGATCGTCATTGAAATTCCTATTCCAAGGGATACACCATATTTTGACATATGAGGTGTCTCTAGATTTTTCCTGATAGCACAATCTAATCTTCATTCTTTTCAGTTACTGCAGTCGGTTTGTTTGTATTTTAAAAATGTATTTGTTTTGTTTCGTGTTTTCAGAGATGGATGCTGAGAGTAACCCCTACGAAGACGATCCCCACTACCATTCTGCACACAGCAAGACTCTCTTGGAGTACTTGTCACTAGCCACTGATTACATCAGCATCCCTATCTGCATCACCGCCATTTTGACGGACATCCTGCTGATATGCATCATCCTCAAGTACAAGAGACTCAAGCAGAGACAGAACTACTACTTGCTGAACTTCGCCCTTTTTCACTTTATCTACATTGTGTCCACGCCATGTCTGCATATTGTAATGGACATATTCTACAGTAGTGAACTTGACGTCAACTGGTACTGCGCTTGGTTGAGGATAGAGAACTTTGGAATCTTTCTCCTTTTGACCTTTATCGCTGGTTTTTCCATTGATGCATTCATCGAAATCAGAAGCTTCCGGTTTTTCAAAAACTATGAGAGAGGATACTTCTTGATCTTTATATTCTTCTACGTTTTCGCTGCTATACTATACTCAGCTGCAGCTAGTGTGTGCTTCAAGCAGGGATTTAGAAACAATTTCAACTTTTATCTAATAACAGTATACTATATTGTGATGCTTGTTGGCATTTTTTATGCTTCAACTCAAATCAAGTACAAACACTCAACTGAGGTCAACCTACATTACACAATCAACGTCACAATGTCAGTACTGATGTGTTGGCTGCCCTTGTTTATTTGTTACACATTGATAAATATCTTTAAAGATGTTCACAATGTAGAGATAGTGTTGTGGTATCTAGCATTTTTGCCAGAGTATATGGCATATTCTAGCTGTATGGTATTGGGCTGGCAATTGTGTAAAAGAAATAAGTACTTCAGGGTTGCTCTCCGAAGATTGTTTAGGAGGCCGGTTGATGAGGCAGATTATGCAGAACTGGTTGCAGGAGAAAATGCTCTTATGAAATAAATATACCTATGTAGTGTCATGCAAAATAGAGCTCAAACAATTAAACTGGGAACATCGTGAAATGTCGAGTTTTTATTTTTGTATCTGCACTAATGAAATCTCGAAATCGACAAATTTTGTTTGCGCCTCAAAGGTTTTAAGCTGTAAAAATGACCTCGAAAAACTTGATGCCTGGAGTATCAGCGGTGCTTTGACAGGGTATGCTATGTTGAGGGATTAGTCCTGACATTTGATGGGATCTTTTCTTGCGGAATTTTTTGGTGATACAGTGTTCTGAGAGAAACCACACGAATCAGACCTTACCTCCTTCCATTAATTAACTGTAATTTGGGCGATTTTTTTGAAAAAGTAGAATTCTGGGTGAACTTTGTGCTTGTGTGGAAATTCTGTCCGACCCAACTGGCGACGCTTTTATAGATCCGCCATATCAAAATTAACAAACGGATTACTATCTAACTCATTTTAAATAACTTAACCACCTTCGCTTATTTCCTGTAAACCCTTGGTGTAAATAGTCGGAAATCCGTTGCAAATTGTTTTTGTTAATTAGCTATTTGAGAATAAATATTTAAAAGCCTCCCTTTGTGCGGTGATTAATTATTCAACGCGGGAACATCAACGTGTTCGTTGTTTGTAGTTCCTGCTGTTATCCAAAATGTTCCAAAAGTAAATCTTTTGCCCAAAGATCGACCAGATTCATGGACTGGCATTAAAAATGGGGTCTCTCCATAAATAAAGAACCAAAATATGCAAGAATTTGCTCCAGGTGTTTTAGCGTCTCGAGAAACAAAATTGGCGAAATTAATTGTATATTTTACAGGAGCTCCAACAGATTTAAGATAAAGTTAGGAAATATCAGCCGCACAAAGTGTGATTTTTAACTGGGGAAAACAGAAGTTATCCGTAAAACCTGTAAGTTTGCAACTAGCTAATTAGCTTTTAGGCTCCTGCGCGGGAGATTCCACGATTTAGTTTAGTACCAAACTGTGGTATCAGTACAAGTCGTCAATTTGACATTAAAATTTTGCCTAATCTCATATATCCCGCGCATGCGCATTAGTTGGTACACTCCGATCACTGCGCCGTCAGTCAGGCGTCAAGTCTTTTGGTCGTTTTTATTCTCATTTCGTCAGTTCTCCTGGTATATAGGCTTAGGCATGCCTAAGTACTTCTTGCTTTGAATTGACAGTTACTACTACGAATTACTCTAAATAGTTTCATTCGAAATGTATTTTTATAAGTATCTTATTGGAATACAAATGAATTATTTGTCTATTAAAAATACTTTTGTTTTTTTTATGATTCTTCTTTATCGACTCTAGGGCGTCTGGTTCATACAGCTTGACGTTGCTAAAGATCGTTATTTAAAGCAATACAGTTAAATATACGTAAGAAAGAAAGTAGGTTAACACGTTGAGTACGGATGTAGAGTGCAAAAAATTGAGTCTCAAGGACGGGATTTTTTTTTGTGTTTCTTTCGGTGAAATTAAGTCTTTAAAGTGTAATATATATTGTTTTATTTGCAAATATGACTTTCTTTGATATTTAAAAAAATATATTACACGTGACATCACAGTTATGTCTCGCCGTCTTTACCTTCAAACCAGTGCGTATGGACGGTGAGACATATACGTGATGCCATGTTTTGCAGGTCTAATCTTGTATGATTATGTTACTGGTGTTGAGCGCATTTCGGCGTGATGCTAATTTATTAGCTCTGTTTACGTGGAAGGGTAAGCATTAGATAAAAATGGGTAGTTACGAACGTGAGCAAGCAGCATTACAGAAGCTGTGGGAAGAGTGTATGTCCGATGATGAGAGTAATATAAGTGAATTTGGGGACGTATATTTATCAGATGAATATAAACCTAAGTCAGACGAAGAGACATCCAGTGACAACAATATTTTAGTGGAGCGTGCAAAGAGACGTAAAACTTCAATCAAAGACTTGGGCGACAATGCAGCAGGTCCATATACTGCAGAGCACAATATAAGCGTGGATGCGGAAGACACGGTAATCATAAAGACATCTTTATTTAGTAGTACGTCTTCCCTGAACAAATTAGTAAATAAGTAGTAATAAGTCATATTTTGCCTGGTTGGGAGAGGGATTTTATAAAAAAAAATGACAGAGTATTCTCAAATTCCGACTCCCGCTGAAAAAGCTTTTTATTTATTGATTTTTCGGCAGATTTTTCACAAATTGCCTTTACTTTCATATTACGTGGAATATTTACATATGGACAGTTTTTTTAGATCAGGTTTTTTGACATCCATAGGAAAAATTTCACGTTATTACTTTTTTACATTGACAATAATACTCACTTTTTCCACATTTGGAATGATTCATAAAAATAAAATATTCTTGAGGATTTAAACGATTTTGTTTCAGATTCAAAATGTAATAGAAGATGTCATTTCTCAATATGCAATTGAAAGCGAAGATGAAGAAATGCAGACTCCTGATTCTGGTGACAATATAAACTGGGGTCCTGTTGACGGTTCATCACTCAAACATTTTGGTGTTGCTGAAGCTGATATTGGAATAAAGCCTGAATTTTATGAAAATTATGACAAGGAGCCCTATGATTTTTTCAAATTATTTATTACTGATGAGATAATAGAATAATGGTATATCAAACAAACCTCTATGCTGAGCAAGTACTAAAGGAAAACCGACGGCCAAAGGACATGTGAAGAAATGGGTTCCTACTACAAGCCAAGAAATGGAAAATTTTCTTGGAATTATATTGTGGATGGGACTTATGAAACTTCCACGTCTAAAAGCTTATTGGAGCACTAACATTTTATACATAAAGAAAGTAAAAGAACTCATGGCCCGAGATAGGTTTGAACAATTATTGAAAATGTGGCATTTCAACAATAACGAAGATGAAAGTTATGCAAACGACAGACTTCGATAACTGACACCTTTAGTGAACAAATTATTGGATAGATTTCAAATGATCATCAAACCAGGGTCTGATGTATGCATTGATGAAACCCTCGTCCCATTCCGTGGTCGCCTTAGATTCAGGCAATATATAAAAAATAAGAAAAATAAATTTGGAATAAAATTGTATGAGTTATGTACTGCCGGAGGTTATACATTTAATTTGAAAATATACTGTGGACTTGATAACACAGGTGGAGGCAATGCATCATCTAACGATGTTATGTCTTTGATGAGTGAGCTTTTAGACACTGGACGGATACTTTACACTGACAATTATTATACCAGTGTTTCATTGGCTACCCAATTGTTAGAAAGAAAAACGCATCTCGTAGGAACAGTGAGGTCCAATAGAAAAGGTAACCCAAAAGAAGTATCGAATAAAAAATTGAGAAAACATGAAGTAATAGGTCAGGAGAGCGGTACCGGCATTGTAATGCTCAAATGGAAAGATACTCGTGATGTGTTACTATTGACCACAGTACACACTGATGAAATAATCAAAGTTCATCAGCGTGGAAAAGAAATTGAAAAACCGCAAGCTATAGTTGATTACAATAAATCGAAAGCTTATATTGACTTGTCAGATCAGCTAAAAACTTATTTACATTGCTTTAGAAGGGGCAACAAATGGTACCGGAAACTAGCAATTGAATTAATTTTTGGTTCTACATTGGTCAATGCATTTATTTGTTATAAAAAAGTAACACAAAATAAAATTCAAATTACGGAATTCAGGGAGCTTTTAGCATTATCACTTCTAGGTGTAAATAACAAACCTAATGAACCAAATCGAAGAAATACAAAACACGAGCTTCAAGCTAAGGATGAATTTGGTCGAAAAGAAGCGCAAAGCAAAACACCGAGGACTAAATTTCAGTGCACTCCTTGTAACAAGAGCTATTGTATCCCGTATTTTTTTGAAACCCATCATGCTGAGAAATTGGACTAACATTTTAAATACCATTATATTATTTTTAAACCACATTATATAAGTTGATTTGCACTTCTTAGCTGTAGAATATACGTTTATTTTATATTGCATTTCATTTTGTTATACTTACTGTAACTATATTTTCTAAATTGAAATAAAATTGTATGCTATCTATAACATAGTATTTTAGTCAAATATCCACAGCCGGATAACAGAAAACATTCGTATAGACGGCTAACTATCGTTTCCCATTCATTTGGCATTATAGCGAGACACTACACCGAACCACACCGTCTTATTCAATATTTAACATGAGACGTTATTGTCATGTCTCACCGTCCCTAGATTACCTAGTCGGTGAGGCATTACTTTAATGCCATACCGTGCTCAACGTGTTAAGTAGACATTGATACATTGCATATATGTTTGAATATATACGTATGAGTTCGTTTAGATAATAATTTGCAAAAAACTGTAAACCATATCGTTATAATAAGATAATATTCCGGATATACCAATCCACTGATGATAAACATAAACGTGTTCAAAGATTATATATATATATATATAAATTTTTTTTAAATCATGTTATTCAATTTGATTTTATCTATTTTAATTGCAGAACAGATTCAGTAAGTTCCAAGTCAAGCAAACCATGATTTGGAGTTGTAAAGCTACAAGCACTGACTTGTACGAGATATTTCATCTACACACTGTATAGGAATGTGAAAATGGAAAAAAGACAGACGCCACTTGTGGGTAGAAAAGACTACAATGGTGGTTGAAACGTTGGACAATAAACTCATAAACATATAAATCGTTTTGATCCGGCCAGACAATGGAGTTCTAAAAAAAAATATTTTGCACTTAAAATATGTAGCATATAATATTCAAACGACTTTCTAACTCATGCAAAGGATTGAGTTAACGGTGTTGGTAGCAGACATGAAAACTTTTAAGAATTTGCTTCCCGTGAAAGTGGATACTGTATTATGCGGTACCCTTATTTTGTTGAGTTAAAAATTGATAATTTGGAGAATATTACTCCAACTATATAAGCCTTAAAACTATAAATTTCGAATGAGAGATGATAAGCTGTAAGCTTGTAGAAACTTTCACTTTACCATTCTGAAAGTTGTTTTAAATTCTCATAAATTCTTTTCAATATAATATTTGACAAAAACGCTCAACTATATATTTTTTGCATTGAGTTGTTTTCATTATGATGTGAATAGCTAAGTGCTGCCTTATACCTCAAAAACGGTTATTTGTATGAGAAAATGTTTGTAACAAAAGTTGTAGAGAACTCTATCCTCTACTCATAATAAATCCAGTTAGTACTTCAACCCATAGGAAGCCATATCTTTGCAAAAAAAAAACGATATTTGTGACCTTTGACCTATGATATCATAAGATACGGACACAATATTTTCTGAGACTTCTGAAATCAGTTTTAGAATGACTTAATAATGACAAAATAAAGGCTTCTACGCCTTTACTGTTAATTATCTCTCATTCCGAGGTGGAATGTGCAATATGAATTTAATACATAGCACATAAGTAGGAAATGAAAACAAACCAAGGATCCCGGTACTGCTTCTGGAATGACGCTTTCAAGTAGCCATCATTAAGTAGCGCTTGAAAAAAGAACCCAAGTGGCTTATGTTGGCTTATGTGGTTTTTGCAATGAAAGTATACTACGCGGTAATATTTAAGAGAGAAGGAATACATTGACTGACTTATATTGGATTTAAAATACTTTGGGGTACCGTTGTGAGTTAGGTGGCTTTTGAAACGAGCGATTCAGTTATTCACATCTATCTTTCTGTATTCAATAATAATCTGTGATCGCAAATATTAAGACGAACTAAAAAACTGCTTCAGCACCAAGATCATAGGAAAACTACGAGCTCGTAGCTGAAAGCAAGGTAAAGTTACGATTAATATCCTAATAAATAGCGTCGAAACCTTATACTCGTTTTCCTTCAGCATAAAGCACTGGATTGCCGCGCCAAAGAACTAATTTCCTCCTATCTGTGTTGTTACCCTGTCCGTAGTAAAAGAGAAACGCTGACATATTTATGTTAAAATTGCCTGTGATAGTCATATTTCACCTCTAATGGACGTCTATGAGGCGGCTGGATTTCTTGCTACGACCACGAAGACGGAAATTAGATATTTAAAAAGTTATAACTGTCTAGATACCGACCGGAAGGAATGAAAATCTAATAACAGGAAGAATATCTGATATTTTGCTTTTGTTTGATCCACATTGGGGGACTGTTTCGTTGTTTGGAATTCACAATATGAAGGTGATTCTGCCAATTTAGAAAACATTCAAAGGTGATTTGTCAAATACATTTTCAGTTTGATGTCTATGTGTATGTCCATCACACAGCTTTTGTAATGACATTCTTCTGAACCATTTTGAACTATAAAAGCTGGAAGAGCGTAGATAATTTTCGGGTTTACATTTTTTTTTCAAGCTACTCAACAACAACAAAGTATTACTCTGCCTATGAGCGCGGGAAGGCCTGAAAATTACTTTCTAACTAACTTTCAAATCGATCGCATTTACGAATGTATTTAAATATTTTAAAATATATGTCTTTTAACCCTTTCACCACTGTCGGAACATATATATCCCAGAGCAAAGAATAAACTACTATAAGATAAATACGTTCCAAAATCGCGTTTGATATGAGTGATCCAGTAAGCTTGATCGTATAGCAAATATATAGGTTAACAAAATTCCCGCCAAAAGTGTAGTGTCAGGTTAGTTTCCTGCACAAATTGTGAGTGTGTACATGTACCCCGATACAATAGCCTTAAAAAACAAAAAAATAAGAATTATTTATTGTCTAGGAGTTGTCAAAAATACAAAGAACTATCAGGTAAGCGAGGTAGTGAAATATTTACACTCTAACAATATTTTTTCCACATCAAAACACTTGCGGGACATATGTGCCCCAGTAGTAAGCTTCAATGGGACACAAAATCCCAATAGTATATAAAGGGTGTTTTTTTCGAGGTATAGAAGTTTAAGTTGAAATTATTTTTGAAGATTGCGACCGATTTGACAGCTGTCAAGTGATTTGTTCTCAGTTTGGTTTGGCAATTCATCATGAATAGACTCACGCCTGAACAAAGCTTGCAAATTGTGCAGTTTTATTTCGAAAGTAATGGTTCTGTGCGGAACACGTATCGCGCACTACGTCCATTTTATCGTCGACAAAATCGTCCATCAAAGCAGTTAATTCGATTAACCATGGAACGTTTTCGCACCACGTTTACTCGCATCCCCAGAGACGCCGTACGGTGCGTACAGAAGAAGCTATGCTGCTGTAGAGCGTAGTATTGAGGAAGACCCGAATGAATCCATCCGCCACCGAGCACAGGAATTGGATCTGTGTCCATCCACTTTATGGAAGATTTTGCGGAAGGATCTTGGTTTGCGTGCTTACAAAATCCAACTCGTGCAAGAATTGAAGCAAAACGATCATCAAGATTCGTTGAATGGGCCCAAAACGAGATTTTCATAAGCGAATTTTGTTTAGCGATGAAGCGCACTTCTGGTTGAATGGCTACGTCAACAAACAAAACTGCCACATTTGGAGTAAAGCTAATCCTCAGGTCTATGTCGAAACACCGTTACATCCAGAAAAACTGACTGCTTGGTGCGCTTTATGGGCTGGTGGAATCATTGGTCAGTACTTTTTCAAAAACGATGATGGCCAGAACGTTATAGTGAATTGTGTTCGGTATAGAGCCATGATTACTAGCTTTTTCTTTCCTGCATTGAACAATCATGATGTCCAGGAGCTGTAGTTCCAACAAGACGGCACAACATGTCACACAGCTCGTGCTACAATCGATTTATTAAAAGACACGTTTTGTGATCGCCTAAATTCACGTTTTGGACCTGTGAATTGGCCTCCAAGATATTGTGATTTAACACCGCTAGACTATTTTCTGTGGGGCTATGTAAAGTCATTGGTCTATGCGTATAAGCCACAAACGCTTCACCATTTGGAAGACAACATTCGCCATGTTATTTCCGATATACGGCCACAAATATTGGAAAAACTCATCGAAAATAGGACGTCCAGATTGGACTACATCCGATGCCAGAAATCATATTTAAAATGTAATGCCACAAGGTTATCTTTAGAATAAAAAAAATTCATGTTAGTCGAATAATCCGTCGTTGTTTTATTGCAATTTAAAGTTTTATACATCTAAAAAAAAAACACCCGTTATGATAGCAATGCATTTTCTTTATTCTTAAGGATGAGCTAATATAAAAGGAACTAGATAAAATTGCTCAGATGAAGACAGCGAGTTTATTCCTTCCGAAAACGAAGAATCCCAAGAACCACACGTAAGAGACGATTTGCTAGAAACCGATGGAGAAGATGGAGACGTAGAAGATGTTGATCTAGAAGATAGTGTAGAATCTGAATGTGAGCGAGTGATTGATTTTCAATGGATCTCAGTCGTTCAAAATTTTACTCCAAGAAAAATGACTCCTGTTGAAAGAGAAGGAGTGCCTACTGTAGATCTTGACAGATCATCACCGAGCTACAGGTTTCTTTGAAACGCTTTCCTAGAAGTTTACTTATTCTCAAAAAAGTCAAAAACTGATCAACACGAGATACTGCTTGTCCTTGGTTGTACTCTTGTAATGAGTTATAATCGCGTTCCCGTATTCTACAATTATTGGTCATCCAGTGTATCACTATCAAACTCTGTCATAAAAAAAGCAATAAGTAGAGATAGATGCTCGCTCATTCTTTCGAAAATGTATTATACTAAACCGAATAAGCCTGAATCGTCATTCAAAACTTATTATTCGGATGAATTAGTTGAAAAAGGGGTTCCAGAAAGCCAGAACTGAATGTTCGCATAAGTCAATTGATGAAACGATGTCTAAATTTAAAGGGCGATCTAGTCTGAAACAGTATCTTCCCATGAAACCGATAAAAAGGGGAATCAAGCTGTGGCAAAGATGCGATTCCAAAACCGGATATGTTTACGACTTCAATATATATTTTGGTAAAGATGTCGAGAAGGTAGATGGTACCCTTGGGGAAAGGGTAGTAAATAAGCTAACAGGGACCATTCAATCACAAGATGTATGCATCTGTATAGATAGATTTTCACAAGTGTTCATTCAATGGCAAATTTACCATTCGCATGTGTTGGCACGTTTTCATGTGATTTCACTTAGCGGCCAAACAGACCTACCATCATGAAGACCCCAGGATTTAGGTGTTACCAAATCTGTATACTTAAATTCTATTTTCAATTTATATTCTGCGTGACTTCTAGGTCATTCAATACGAGCTACTTGCATTTGACCTAATTTTTGAGCTAACGAGAAATTTAATATAAAATAGATCGTATATAGCAATTACAGCAGTTTATGAATAAAAGCTGTTTACCATTCTCCATGTTTGGCTATGCTTCCAGTATAAAAACCTTGTTATTTCTCTCAGAAGCCTGTCATCTGTAGCGGCTTTATAATTTACACCCCGTACGATCAAAGGCTCTCATGCACCATACACATGTCTAAACGCTTTTCCGAGCTGAAAAAGTAGCTATATACACATATAAACTGTGAATGCTAAGGGCTTTCCGCTCCATATTCCTGAAAAAGCTCCTGCCTCGCATGACGGTAGAAAAGATGGGTTTGTTTTATACACCACTGGCGATATACACGTTACAAAAAGGCCATGTACGCGTAAAAGTGTCACGCCGTAAACAGTATGGGCCATAACCTTATCAGTTCCACTATAATTCATCGCAGTTTACCACCAAATGGCTATGGGAGGACTTTAAATTTTATTTCCCTCATAATGGCAAGTTGCCTGGTATATCGCCGTAATATTTTAATATTTAGTGTGGCGCTTTTCAGTTAGTTTCATTTTATTAGAATGAAACACAAAAATTAAAACGTACATCAGTCTTTCTCAAACTAGGTGATACTGCCTCTTGTGGGCGCTGCGGACTTACCTAAGGAAATGGATAATTTTTGTCCGGGAAGATTAGTACGTCAGTAAGGAACGCTCTGTATATTGCAGCAAATTATACTCCTCTATTATCTGAATCTGATTGTGACACTGAGATCTAATTCTTTTTTGCTTTTGTGTGTTTGTGTAATAAAAAAACAGCTGACATAAACTTACGGAAGCATTATTTATCAAACGCATATCCTACAAGTTGGCCACGCGAATGTTCCGGTTTTTCTTGCTCCATTATACCAAAGTGGAGCCAACGTTGGTTCCAACTTATTGGCCTAATGTCTGAACGCCACTTAAGGTGTTCACTTTGCCTGTATCTCCCCCACCAGCAATTAATATACAAATAAAGGGCATTCACCATTTTTCTAAATATTTCTGGTGGAGCTGAAATCGCATACAACGGTGATTATTCACGGTACTTTGTTGAGAATGGGTAAATTGCTAATATTTTCTCTGGAATTTGGAAAGCGTAGACCATTAAGAGATAGAATCCGACAGTAATTGCTAAGCTTAGTTTGCCAGTGAAGGAATATTACCGAGGATATTACCGGCTACGGTCGACATTTTATTGGAATTTAGGGCTCATTGTAATTGAAAATCCCGCCATATCCACCTATTCATATTAGAATTTCAGGGATGATTGCTAAACACGGTACCCATTACTGGAATTTGAATTGTGAAATCGAGCATATGCTCAGGAGGACGTTCTGTTAGAAAATCTCTGCTCCAAAATTAGTCTATTATATTCTGAGCAAGTTAGGCCAAATGCCTTATATTAAAATTAAAGAACGGAAGTTGACTATGGAATATAGGATGAAAGTATTTTGGCTTAAATGCGCTAAGATGTTATTATTTTTCCCGATTTTTCTAAAAATGATGATAAATGATCGTCAAAAAATGTTTTTTACGGTTACTTCTTAAACTGAATGATGATGAGATGAATGTTGCGTAGTTTTTCATTACAAACCTACTGAATCCATGTTGGTGCAATCAATAAATAAATAATGACGTGTTTGCAAAAATCTTTTGAGTATGGATTTTTCCGACCGAAATCTGTAGAATAGATTCTTTAAATAACTAGTGCTATACATCTTTGTTTTGCGTTGTAATGCTTTGCTTACAACCATCCCTTCTTCCACCCAGACAGCAAAAAGGGTGACAATTAAAAAATGTCCAATGTTTGTCAGATTATGTTACATTCACATTTTGTTTCCACATCTGGAGGCAATCTGTTAGGCTATGGTCAGACTGCATCCGTGTTTGACCGATTTTTACACTGGCGTACGCGGACGACCCTATCGGCCGATCTGCTCTGATAAACTTGTGGTGATACTGCACGTGTTTCGGCCGATCTTTTCAGTTTACAATCCAAAATGGACGAACTACTGTTGTTTACAACCCCACTATTACATATACTATTGTTAGATGGCGAGAAAGGTGAATGGGTGAATTCCATTTTTCAAGAGAGAGAAGAGCATGGCGAGTTTCACACGTTATTTCCAAGGCTGCTGGAGCAAGAAAATAAATGTTTCGAATATTTCAGAATGCTAATTGATACATTCTGGTACATACTAAATGGAATTAGGCCGTACATAGAAAAACAAAGTAATTTTAGAAAATGTATTTCTCCAAAAGAACGACTATCGGTAACAGTAAGGTAAGTACAAACATTTGTATTTTTTAACTATAAACAATAGGTAACCCTAATTATTATGTCAAAAACTCAACCAGTCAAATTCACACAATATAAGGAAATTCAGTCACACATTGTGATACTCTGGACTGAAGGTGTCTACATATGTGGCTAGAGAATTTGGTTTGATTTGTGCTGAGTTGGGTGATGGAGTTGAACACTGTGGGCTGTAATTGTCAGAATACGATGAAGTAGCTGAATTGGGACGTTTGTTTGGTGATGGATTTGAACATTGTGGGATACAATTTTAAGAATATAATGAATTAACTGAACTGGGACGTTCCTCTTCTGCCTCCGCCTCAATTATCAGAGCTTGCTGTAGGCGCATTCTGGTTGCCAGCTTCTTTTTTTGGGGATATCACGAAGATGTGGTAGTAGACTCATAAGGAAATGGTAGTCGTCATCCTTGTCAAAGCTTCAGATGTATTGCTACGTTCATACCTTTTCTCCAGTTGCTCAACCTTTCGCTGCTCCAGTAAAACACGTTTTGCTATGGCATCCGGTCTAGCAATTTTTCGTTTTGTTGTCATGAGAGGTTTTTTGAATGACTTTACACTGGGACCACGAAACGGGTCTGTTTGGACAGTATCTACGAGGGTTTCTGATTCTTGTGTTTCAGCAGTACTGTTGCTGATCGCACAATTAGAATCAATGGTGTTGTTAAATACCCTTGTTACGTCTTCTTCTTCTTCATTTAGGATATCAGCTAGCTCTGAAGTTTGGCTTAAAACGGAAGGGATATTTGTCTTCATTCTTCTGGAAGAAAACGCGCCGATTAGGAATGAAAGTTGTTTGTAGTATTTCCACGAAGGGATTTGAGTATCACCGAGAGCTGCACTACCTGTAGGCGCCTTCGAAATTTTTGTATGTTCTCTGCGAAAGTTACCTCTCAAGTTTTGCCATTTCCCTTTGGTCACTTCACCTGAAATAAAAGAATACCCCGTGAAATTCATAACTTTCATTTGGAGTGAACTTTGTATTTACGAAATTTGTTTTCTTTACAGATTTCTATCTACGGGGATGGCTTTTAGATCTTTGGCTTTTTCCTATCGCATTGCACACAACACTATTGCAGGAATAATTTATGAGACCTGTGATGTAATTTGGGAGTGTTTTAGTGAGAAACATATGCCTTTTCCTACAGCAGAATTGCTTGAAAAGAGTGCAAAGGACTATGAGCAGTTATGGAACTTCCCAAACTGTGTTGCCAGTATCGATGGCAAACATGTGCGCATTAAATGCCCGAAAAAAACTGGCTCGAAACACTTCTATTATAAAGGATTCTTCTCTGTGGTCCTTCAAGCAATGGTTAATGCGCAATATAAATTTCTAAGTGTGGATGTGGGAGCCTATGGTAGGCAAAGTGACAGTGGTGTGTTTTCAGAATCTAATCTGTTTCAACATATAGAAACATGATCTTTTCCTTTCCCACAACCAAGACAGATAACAGGAACTACCATGACGCTAACTTACGTCATACTTGGTGACCAAGGATATCCTCTAAAGGGGATTTAATGCGCCCTTATCCAACAGGACAGGAGGAGCTTCCTCGTGAAATTGAAATTTATAACTATAGGCTTAGTCGAGCCAGACGAACTGTAGAATGTGCATTTGGCATACTAGTTTCAAAATGGAGATGCTTAAAGACAGAGTTACAGGTCGAACCTCATCATGTTGACAAATTGGTCATGACTACTTGCTTATTGCACAACATTCTCATAGATATAGAGGGAATCAATGAAGGTACATTGCAAAAAATCAACTCAACCAATACTGCAAAAGATGCAAGACCGACAAGCAGGGGACCAAGATGCTTCAATAGAGCAGGAAGAGATGCTTACTACTACGACCAATTTAAAACATATTTCAACACAGCAGGGGCGACAGATTTTCAGGACAATGAAATAGACGCATATGTTCACTAAAATAAATAAAATTAATAAAATACTTACTTGTGCTGTTCAATTCCTCTGCCATTTCCCGCCAAAGCTTTCTTCCTACGTCCCTATTGTGGTAGCTTTTACTGCCCACATCCCACAATGGTTTTCGGTCATAAACCAAGGAAATCAATTTTTCTATGTCTACCATATTTCGTGATTACTGTATAAACTTGAAGACTGTAACACAAATTCTGGCGTATACGGCCGGAAAAAACAAAATAATTTGTTTTCCACCGTCAGTCGGCCGAACAAGTCCGTGCACGTCAGTGCTGGACGGCGCAACTGTGACTGTCTCCAATTAAGTTTGCCGCATTTTTTTTCTGGCGTTATCGGCCGTATATGCCAGTGTAAAAATCGGTCAAACACGGATGTAGTCTGACCGTAGCCTAACGCGTGCACTAAGTTTATGTTACAACTCTTTCTCTAAGTATACATGTCTTTTTTTTCACAAAAAATCTTGTCTAATATACTGGACGATATCTTTAGACTTTTAATTCACCTTATGATTTTCTTCTCAAGTTTAAAAGTAATGTACACAGACTTGGTCTCGTTTCTTACTTGATATAACCAATTTAATAGGGTTTCTTTTTAATAACCGCTCCAGTATTTTAAAGTTTGAGCCCACTTGAGGAAATAAGAACATACACAGTTTTAGGCCATCCCTTAGAACCATTTTTAGATTAAGTTCAGATTGCCACCGTGGAATAGTCATAAATGATATTAAAATCGATCCACGTTTGCGTCACTTAACTTTATTTGTCCTTCCAAATAAGCGTCAATGGTACCATTATGACGGTTGAATTAAATGCTTCTCAGGTATAACGTCAAATTGATTTGGAGGCTCGGTTTCAAAAAAGAGAAATAAGAGTTTTACTTGTGTCATAATAACATTAGTACATGGTCTGTGTCATCTTGGAGTTGCTAACCACGGGCCTAACCGGTGACCACTACCAACATTATTCGAAGATCCTAACATAAAATTTCTAGAAAACCTTTAATGACTTTTGGTATTACAACAGATCAATAGCGATTCAAATACTTCTCTGATAGTCGAAGAAATAAAAAAAAATGGTTACTAGGCATGTGAAAGGTGACACCATCTATATATATATATATAAATAAATTCTCCACCTTTGAATAACCACAACGCGGTCTGATGATTGAGGAGAACTAAGAGACATAGACTTTTCATACGAGTTGTTGATAATTGTGTTATTGAAGTATGCGTTAAACTTACCTGCAGGACATCGCCCTATTAATCTTCAGTATTGGTGTTAGTACCACCCCATAAAACGTTTATGCTACACCATACAGTTTGTTCGGGTTATTTATATGCAGTAAACCATCTCAAAAGGCAAGAGTCTAAATTTTTCACTGGACATCTGACGGCGACATTGAATTTGACCTTGAGCTCCAAGGGTGAAGTCTATTTTTTTAGACTATATTCTTGAGACCGGCAGGGGTCAAGAGAAAAGTGACATTATGTCGGTTTTTGGTCATTATATAGGTTTTTGGTGACATGATGTAGGTTTTCCGATAAGATATCAACTTGAATCTAGCTGTTATTCACTTGATGTACATTCCCTTTATAGCTGTAAGTTTTATCTGAACGTCATGATGCTTGAGCTTTGAGTCATTTGCTTCAGAGTGGCATTATTGGAGGTCTTAGCAGTAAATTGTTCACTATAGCTGAAAGGAAACGGTATTGCATAGCTTCTTAGTGGGCTCATAATATAATGTTGTTGATAACCTCCTTCAGGGATTCATACCTACCGTCTGTCTCGACCTTCTGCAACCAACAAAGCACACTGGCAAACTGACATGCAGCATCGTTGTGGAGCACGTTGTTGAGTCATTCCTCCATAGGTGCCGCTCATATCACTTACAGCGCTCACAGCGGGTAATAGAGAAATGGACTATTTGTACAGTGGCAGTTATCTAGTCAGCAAGTTGATATTTTTTCGTTGTTTTGACATTATATACGTTTTTTATGTAATAATCATGCAAAAATGGATAAAACTTAAAGCGTTTCGTATAGAAGACCACTAAAAAGAATTAACTTTGATGTATAACCTAATCTCTATGAAAAAATTGAACCCCAGCAGATGGCGATCTTGAATTTGAAATTAACCTCAACCGTCAAGCTTAAAAGAGGCACTACATTTTTTATACCAGAAACGGATAGAGCAGATAATTCTAAGTTCAAAACAGTCTTTGGCATTCAAAAAGGTTGACCTTTGTGCTGGATAGAATTTCTTTTAGAGCCGCGGTTTTCGAGATTATTTACCGCTAGCTACGTGATATTATTGCGTGTGGCGATGTGGTATCTTGTAGCATGCACCGAGCTAATGCTTGGAGAGTTGATTTGGAATACTCCTTACAGCAAAAGTAAGATATCCAGGTCAAAAAGCAAGACTGATCACTGAATTTCACAACTGTATAGATGCACTTTGGCAAATGAAATCAAACAAAATGTTTCTCTCGTTTCGCTGTTGCAATGAAGCACTCTAACAAATTGCAAAGTTATGACGATCAAAACAGAGAATAAACGAAATTAATTAATGTGGAGTTTCATCACCATTATGTTCACGACGGGTCTGCCGTGTTTTCATAAAATGCCAGCTTATGCATATCAAATCAAGGCAACTATAGACTAGGGCAGTAGCACCCTTTCCATATTCTTGAAGCCGATTCGCTGACCGACAGCAATTTTTTTTGACGTACATCTATATGTGATTGAAGATACACCTGCCGTTAAAATGATTTTTTCACTAAAATCGCCATTATTGACACTTCTCCCACTAGACAAATAGTAATCATTAGAAGAAACAGGGAAATAATTAATATGTACATTGTACATTCATGTAAAGCCTTTCTTGGCTTGCTGGCCACACATTTGTCACTGCTATTAAACCTTCTATCCATTCTTGAACATATCAATTTTTGTTTACTACAAGTATATAGATAGTTTATCTTATTACTGAAACAATTCTTAAATACATGGCCATCATACAATTTTATATGAACTGCTATATTATCCACATGAATCGGCGTGGAATCAAAAATATGTATCTTTAGTGTTACCGTTCCAAGGGTAAATGTCAGGGAAGTTGAGTGACTAGTATGTCTAACATGTTTAACACCGGGATCAGCTTATGCATATCAAATCAAGGCAACTATAGACTAGGGCAGTAGCACCCTTTCCATATTCTTGAAGCCGATTCGCTGACCGACAGCAATTTTTTTTGACGTACATCTATATGTGATTGAAGATACACCTGCCGTTAAAATGATTTTTTCACTAAAATCGCCATTATTGACACTTCTCCCACTAGACAAATAGTAATCATTAGAAGAAACAGGGAAATAATTAATATGTACATTGTACATTCATGTAAAGCCTTTCTTGGCTTGCTGGCCACACATTTGTCACTGCTATTAAACCTTCTATCCATTCTTGAACATATCAATTTTTGTTTACTACAAGTATATAGATAGTTTATCTTATTACTGAAACAATTCTTAAATACATGGCCATCATACAATTTTATATGAACTGCTATATTATCCACATGAATCGGCGTGGAATCAAAAATATGTATCTTTAGTGTTACCGTTCCAAGGGTAAATGTCAGGGAAGTTGAGTGACTAGTATGTCTAACATGTTTAACACCGGGATCAGCTTTTTAATAAAACGCTTACACAGCCTGTACTATCACAAAGCCAAATTCTTAATTTATAAAAAATAGTGTAAATGAGCAGGAGTCTATGAACAGTCAAATAATCAAGCCGCAATCATTTTACTTGCCATAGCTCCCCCAGCACTGGATCAAACTTCAAAGCACGGTAAGCTTTTCCATCCTTTGGCAAAGAAGTAATATTGTGTCAAAATCTCATTAAAATTCCAGCAGCATGACCCGAATTATGAGGTGCCATCAACGAGCAGACAGTCAGGCACACATAACGACGAGAAGGAGTAACTTGATTTTGGCGATCAACATGGCTCAATGCCATTTGGCATCCGAAGTAAAGCGGAGTCAAGTATGATGACCACGACTCACAAACTAACTAGTTGTCAAATTATGGAAACAAAAAAATATTCCTTATTTTGTTACATTAATATTAAAATATTCAATATTGTACCGTTTACACAATTTTTCAAGCTTACTACTTAACCTACTTAGTGTTCCAGAACTCTTTACCTGTGATACTTTCCCTGAGAATATGTCAAAGCTTCCGAGAAACGCCAAAATGCAAAAAACACTCACGAAAAGTGAAGGTGGTAGACAAGGACCAGTCGACCGAGGCAGTACCACCCGCTAGCTTTTCCCAGGGTGTCTTATAAATGTCCGCATGTTTCCACACCTAAGCTATGCAGTCGGTTATCTACCAAAACAAAGAAATTAATGATGATGGATCCCTCGAGCACTAAAAAGTCCGGACGTAAACTCACTCCACTCTCGGAATGTCCGGGTGGAGGGTGGGCTCGAGGGAACAACATCGAAGATAACATTTGTTTTTCGAACATCTGCGGGATCAACAGCAACATTGATGCTGTTCATCACTACCTGCAATCCAATCGTCCCGCCGTGCTTGTCTTGGCGGAGACAAAAATCTCAGAGACTGCACCGATTAACCACCTCAACTTCCCAAACTACGAGGTGCACTCCAATATGAGAAAGAACGGGGGAGTTGTGGCTTTTGTCCGCAGCAGTCTTTAATGCTCCAGGGATCTTTCTTTGGAATCACACCGGAAGGACATTCTGTGGCTTCGCCTCAAAACATCACCCAAATTTATTTGATGCCTTTATCGCTCTCCCTCGAACCATAGCTGGGATGACCTACTCGAATACCTCGCCGTCCAGATTGACTTCCTGAACATCAATCACCCCGCTTCAGAGGTAGTTCTTCTCGGTGATTTCAATGCCCACAATGAGCTTTGGTTGGGCTCAAATAAGACCGATGCAGCAGGTCGTGCAGTCGAAGCGTTCGCTCTTACTCAAGGGCTGACCCAGCTGGTGACGAGCCCTACTTTTTTCCCCCGCGTCTCGACACACGCCAGTAGCCTGCTGGATCTCTTTCTGACCACGCATCCTGCCCCTTACAGCACTGCTTTCGGTCAGAACCCGCTGTGGCGGCAGAAACTCGCACAGGCCGCAAAACTTGGCATTACGGACATGCCGACTGGGAGGGGCTCAGATACTTCTTCTCTAGCTTTCCTTGGAGAGATGTCTGTTTCACTGACGCGGATGCGTCGATTGTCTGTTCTTCAATAACCGAAATTATCCACATCCGAATGGAGGAATACATCCCTCACACAGTGAAAGTTCCTAAACCAGGGTCTAACGGCTGGTTCAACACATCATGTGACACTGCTCGCCAGCAGAAGATCAAGGTCCACAG